CACTCCGTTCCGACGGTAGTGCTAAGCAAACAGTTAAATTTTAAAAGCGCGGTTATAAGATCTAACAGATATTCTTGTTTTCTTTTTTGGACCGGCCTCTTTTCGCTTTTTCCATCCTCCAAAGATCTTCAAATTATTTCATTTTCTCGCGCAAAAAATAAAAACAAGAAATACGAGAAACCGTTGGCGCCTACAGACTTTGCCACGAAAAAAGCGGCGTGATTCTGAATGGATCCTTTTGACAGCCAGACATTCCACAGTTGAGTGAGTTTTGCATATTTAATAAGGGAGCGGAGTGAAGGAAACAATAGCGTCTTTCCAGGCGTCCCATAATCTCACGCGCAACGCGCGCTCGTTCTTTCCCTTTTCCCTCCCCTTCGGACGCCTACCCTCACGCGCTTCGCGCGCTCGTTCTTTCCCCTTTCCTTCCCCTTCGGGCGCCTGCCACGCAGGCTACAAACATACAGACTCACAAAACAACGAACAGTATCGTAGACAAACTACCAGACTCACAAACAAGCAAAACCCACCGTGTTTAAATAAAAGATGTTGTTGTTGTTGCAAACAGACTCACAAACAAACAACTAGACTCACAAACAGACTTACAATAAAAGACTCAAACAAACATACAGACTTATAAATAAACAAACAAACAAACAAACTCACAAACAAGGAAAATTAAAAATAGAGTCACAAACAAACAAACTGATTCACAAATAAACAGTCTCAAAAAGAAACAAACAGACTCGCAACCAAACAAACAGACTTACAGCAAACAGAGTCACAAACAAACAAAACAAGTCACAAAAACAAAACGCCAGATTCAACAATCATTATGACGTCGCTTCGTACAAAAGGATATGCATATGCATATGAGTTCGGCATTGACCCCTCGAGTGATTTCCGCTACACGCACGGGGAAAACCACGGTCTGGGAAGCGTTTACGTCTATGTGAGCGACGCCGGCGCGTCGAAAACTGACTACGTATACCCGGGATGGAGCAAATTCAGCGATGAAGGCGGCAAAGCTGTTCAAGGAGACTTGATTTATTACATCGAGCCGCGGGCCGCTTCTGAGACCCAATCGGACTGGTTCGCGCCAAACACAGCATCAGGTTTGACGCAGACGGGCTTGGCGCGAATCAACCAGTCAATCGAGGCTTTCGTTTACTGCGTTCTGGGCGCGCAAGTCAACGTCCGCAGCAGCATTCTCGGTTCTGGTGGCCGAGCAAGAGAAGCCCAAAGCGAGTTCCTGGTGCTGATGGAAGACGCGATCAGACAGCCCGACCTGGCACAGAACGTGCAAAGGTACCAGCTCGCGGTGGATCAAGCGAAGGTCAGGCTCAATCTTGCTGTTGCCCCCATGGCCTGGCTCATGCCTACGCAAATGATAATTAACACCGCAAGCACGATCGGTTACAACAACAAGCTGAAACAGGCGGTCTCCGGGATGAAACTGGGGGGTGAACAACGAGGTAAACCCTGACACAAAAAAAGCTGGGCTCAAACTCATGGCAGGCGGCCCGTCAAAGATTAATCCACCCAACAGCCACCCGTCCAACCCGATACACAAAGCCGCAACAGCCGAATCGAAAAAACCTGCTTCAACAGAAACTCAACAAGCGCAGCCAACGGCAGAAAAAATAGAGCCAGAGGCCCCTGATAAAACACCGCAACACGAAATTAACAAAACAGCTGTCATTGTCGGTGTAGTTG